TATGTTGGGCCAAAAAGTCTACACCGCCACATCCTTAAAATTCAGGGAAATGAAGGACGCATTTGAGGGCCACATTTTGAGCAGCCTTTGAATTGGTGCAGCCTTCGTCGCGTTGCTGTGACGTAATCGGCCTTAAAAGCAGCCTTTAAGGCTGCAGACCCTGAATTGGGACACAGCCACAGTGTGACTGCATTGGCAGAGGTGTAGCGCACATGTGCATGCAGGTTACCTGAGTTTTTGCATCTATCACATCTGCAGTGGCATCAAACATTAGTTTCACTTGCAGAAAGTCGTCTGTGCACAGCTTCATCTTCACTCTCACTGCCTCCATTTAAACTATGCATGTTCCTCTCTTCCTCACTTACTGTATGGTGGTTCTTAACAAGCAAATAAAAAACGTTTGTTTTCATAATATTTCAGAATAAGAGCCCAGTTAAGAAATTAAGTGTTTCTATCCAATGAATATAATGGATAGAAACACTTAATTTCTTAACTGGGCTCTTATTCTGAAATATTATGAAAACAAATGTTTTTTATTTACTTGTTTTAATTTGAAACGGTTACAGGAAAACCTGAGGTCAAGTCAAGTGGCTTTATTGTCATTTCAACCATGTTCAGTGCTACAGTACACAGTGAAGCGAGACAGCGTTCCTCCAGGATCATGGTGCAATGACATTTATGCCATGACATATAAAAGACAATCAACACAGGACTACATGAAGTGCAAGTGTGCAAAAACTGCAAAAAACATTGCAGCACCAGACAGAACAGAACGATACAGACACAACAGTGCAACAGAAATGTGCATCAATGACAGTTGGTTGTGCATGTTTGTGTAAGTGTGTGTCAGTCCAGTCACTGAGTGGTCAGTAGTCTGACGTTTGGGGGAAGAAACTGTCGCGGTCTGGCAGTGAGGGCCTGAATGCTCCGGTACGTCTGTGCCAAATTGTAGCCGGAGTAAAATACGAGCGCTCACAGGCTCTGCAGTAGCTGTCTCAGTTTCTGACCACCCTTTGGAACACAAATTTGCGTGCTAAGCTAAACGGATCACATGTTCCTCTCTGTTCTTACTTATGTGACTGATACTGATACTCAGTGTTTTCGCAGTTGCTTCCTATTGCTGCTCAACAGTTTGTATAGTTGTTACCTTACAGTGGCCTCAGTGAGAGGCTGCTATGTGCATACGTATCATTTAGTACCCAGAAATGAAATGTTTCAATGATTTGTAATTTCTGACCACGTTATCACAGCTTTCTTTTTGCAAACTGAGGAGTGTTTGTTAACACTTAACAAAGACAGAGGACATGAGGCTGCTGACTTCATCTCCTGCTGTGGAACTTCACAGTTTATGTGAATGAATTGTCGTTTTAAAGTTCTGCTTGTTGGGAAATAATGTTCTCTTCCTCTTGAATGTAACAGAAGACCAACCCACTGGGCCTCTCAGTTTCAGAGAGAGACTGTTTGTTATCAGAGTAAGTACACCGTTTACTTGTTTGATCTGAAACTGTTCAGCCAAACTGTTACTGAACTTGATTTCTGTGAGCAGGGCTTGTGGAGGTTTGTGCTTCCACTGGGAGTGGTCTACTTAACCGAGTATTTCATCAACCAGGGTTTGGTGAGTCCTCTGATGCCCTCTAGCAGCACACTCAGCTCACTGCATGCTGTTAGAGAAACTTGCCTCTGGTTTTGTGTGATGTTGTGAGAATATTGAACCAGGAATATTTTTTCCCTCTCTGTAAGATGGAACTCCTGTTCTTCCACAATATTTTTCTGACCCATGCAGCTCAGTATCGCTGGTCAGTGATCCATTACAGAGAATATTCAGTATGAATGACTTCATGCAGATTGTTTGGGGTGTGTAGCTCTACTTGTTTCTTGTTTGCATCCTCAGGTATCAGACTCTGTACCAGCTTGGTGTACTGCTCTCTCGATCCTCTCTGCGCTGGGTGAAGATCAGGAAAGTGTGGATTCTCAGTGTTCTGCAGGTGAGAAATGAGAATAAAATACAAATCAGCACCAGAAGGATGTCTGCTCTCTTTTTTTGACAAGGTAGAGGAGCTTAACCTGCAACTTTATTCTGACTGGCTCCTCACTACAAACAATAGATTTGAACATCAGTATTTGTGGCTGCTGTGCACAAAGTGTGTACACACAAATCTGTGTGTAAGTAGTGCATATAAAATGTTGTGCACAAATCCATAATTGCTCCATTAGGCAGTAGGTGAAGCTGCATTAGTGCATAGAAGTGTTAGGAGCAGCCAATAACAAAACGGTGCAGCAGCTGTCCTCAAAGAATTACAACCACACAATGATCCTCATCTAGGATCATACTATATACACAGTGACCCCGCCCCATTTCCAGGTGAAACAGAGAAAGTGCTGATGATGTTGTATAAGAGAGAAGCCTGCACCTCTAAGGCAAGAAATAAGGAGAAAATCTGACTGTAGAAAGAGAAAGAGAAAGGAGAGGTGTGGCTTTGCAGAGTCTCTCAACAACTGTTTACGTCAAAGTGACACTCAGGCTGAAATAATAGGAGAGCTGAATAAATGATTTTTTCCATTACATCATCAAACATTGCATAGTTTATGGTTTGTTTTCAGGTGACTGAATAATTTGTGTTGCTTTGTGATGCAGATAACTATAGTGCATGCATATGGGGTTGTTAAATGTGTGTGAATGTATACTTTACAGACACTGCTGTGTTTCTCAGAGCTGCTTCTCTCTCCTCCCCACAGACGCTGAATGCTGTGTTTCTTCTGTTAGCTGTACGTTACCTGTTCCTGCCCACTGTTTGGTTGGTGTTCGCTTTTATCCTCTATGAGGGTCTGCTGGGTGGAGCAGCATATGTCAACACCTTCCACTTCATCAGCGAGGAGGTAAAGGACAGCTTCAGAGAACCATTCATGTAGTTTAGACTCTGGAGTATTCTAGACAGTCCTGACTTTAGGAATCTAGACAGTTCCATATTTTCTGTTCTTCGACCTCTGTGCAAAGCTGCATTTCATTTTTAATCCATTCACGGATACATACACACTCTGCAAATGTCACAATGATTATTTTAGGAGATTCAGGAGATCAGTACAGAAGCAGCTGTGCACTGTTGAGCTGTTTTTACTCCACAGTAAGCATGCATCCACCTCAGAGTGTCTTCTCTTTTCTCCTACAGACTGAAGACAGACACAGGGAGTTCTCCATGGCTGCTGCCAGCGTTGGAGACAGCCTGGGCATAACTGTGGCTGGACTCATATCTCTTCCTGTCCACACTTACTTCTGTTCATTATAACCAAGCCCACACACTGACCAGCACGATGAGTAAGCAAAACGTGGGTGTGTTCGATTTTTAAATCCGAACTGGGTTAGAGACAAAAAGCAGACATTACATAAAAATGTCAATAAAGTCTTTGACTCCACATCCTGTACTTGCTGCATATTTATAGATAACAGCAAGTAAACTATATAGAAAGTCCAGAGTCCAAAAAAGTGTTTTTTTACCTTCAGCCAGAGATCAAATAATATCAATAACATCCTACCTACGATCACAGAAGGTAAACCTGAAACACAGATCAGTGAAACCGATAGGCCAGAAAATATTGTCTTGTTTTGATGACCAGTTTCTTTGTGGTTTTCCTTCATGAAAAACCTTCCAGTGGTTCACAGAACAAAAGCTTTCAATGTGAAACAAGAGCGGGATATATTTCAATTTGACATAATGAATAAAAGAAATATAAATGCAGTACATTTTAAAGTCACAGAAGAGGAGATGTCATTTCAGTAAGTTTACTGTGTTTTAATTGTGGCAACTAATGAGTCATCTTTAAGTATAAAGTATCTCTGAGCTGCGACCAGGCAGCCAGTTTTGTGTAGGAAATCCCTCCACGCCAACCTTCAACGCTAAGATTTACCTTAAAATCTAAACTGTTATTTTACTGACCTTCATTTTAACATTAACTCCTCAAACTGAACTCTGGGCTCAGAAACAGTGCTATGAATGACTACTCAGCTAGGATGTGCCATTACTATTTTAAAAGTCAGAGAGCTCAGTCATTGAATGCTGCAATTATATTTTTGGGAGGTGAAATTATAAAACTATTGCTTTCAGGGGGCAAGGATAGCTCAGTAGGTAGAGTGGTTGCCCCATGATCGGAAGGTCGGGGGTTTGAATCCACTGAACAGCTACCCTGAGTAAGGTACTGCTCCCTGGGCACTAGATTGGTGGCTGCCCACTGCTTCACTGAGTGAATGGGTTAAATGAGAGGAATTTCCCCATGGTGATCAATGAAGTATACATTATTATTATTATTTGAAGAAACTGTGAGTAAATATAATGCTGAAGCCTGAGGGCTCTCACTAAGTGGCTTCTATAATAAGTAGTTCTATAGTTAAGAGTTTAATTCATGTTAATAAATAGCAGAGATTACTTTTGTATTTCAGTTGTAGTCAAACGTTTGCAAACATTCATCGTAGAAATGAATCTGAAATTTGGGATTTTCATTATTTTTTTGACATGACTATAGGTGACTTCAATCTTACTGAAAGACTGTGGACTATGCTTAAAATCCAGGTTGGTACCAGGAAACCAAGAGAAGAATAATGGTCAAATATAACATCAGAATTAGGCCTGATTGAGGTGGAAATTTTTCCTAAATAAATTCAACCATGTGCATCCAATTCTCATTTTTAAAGTCTTTTTTTGCAGATGCTGTAAAATCATTCCTCTCTGGGAAGAAGAAGAAAAAAGTCCAAAATTACCATGACATTCATGTCCATGATGTAACAAAGCGAGCAAAAATGCCTTCTATTATAGGTTTTAATACCAGGAGAGCATTCGGAGCTTTAAAATGCCACTTGTTTCAGATTTGTACAAAAACAATGTCACACACGGATTTGTTTTTGTGATGTTTATCGTGTGCAACTTGGCATCATTTTGCTTAGCTGTGGCTTTTCTGATTCTAATGAAAGACTGCTTGTTAAACTGTGGCACAGTTAGTCACTGCGGGTGGAGCACAGAACACCTGGGAATGGCTGAGATGAGAAACAAAGTTGATTTTAATATTTTTGTTGTAAAATAAAGAAAATAGAGGTTGTTCATGCCGTCATGCTGACGTGTATTTTACTAAAATTCTTGGAAGCACTTTTGTTATTTTTTTATAACATTGTGGGCTGTTGAATTTGTTTTCTTTTCTTGGAATGCAGTTTATGTCCTTAAATACTTGATCCATGTGTCCTGTTTTCTCCTGAACACTCAAACGCAGACCAACAGTCCTACTGACATTCTGATGACCACATAAAGCTAATGCTAATGCTAACTGGAAGAACCTTGTTACAACATAATATTGTTTTTTAATCTTCTGCTTGCTTCAAATCAAATTTTACAGGAAATCAGAAAAGAGGTTCGCTTTGACTTTGTTAGCCTGCCAGTTAGCTACAAACATGTGGTTGTTCTTTCTTGCGCAGAGACATGACATTTCTAATTGTACTGATTTGTTTCTTTGATATAAAGTGTATGTGTCATAAACTGGAATGTGTCGTGCTTTATTACTTATAGTGATGTTAGATAACATAGGTTGGTCTTTAACTGGGGTGTTTTGTGAACCATTTATTAACCTAATATTTAATTCAAAATTATTTAGGGAAAAAAAGTAAGGTTGCTATAGTCAGCAATCTGCAGTATTTCCTCTGCTGTCCACTTTGTGCCTAATGTATCAGACAAATGTTTTTAGAGTGGAGAATTTATACTGTGGTATCCCAAAGCTATAGGTGATGTTTCTAAGCCAAAATGAATTAAAATGTATAAATATAGGTTACCTTTCCATAACACACATGTTTCATGTTAAACTTCTACTTGAACTACATTACATTTCATAGTGGAGCACAGAACATTACACAAAAACTTTAATTCTTTATAATTAAATTAAAAGGGTATATTCTACCTTCATTACAAGTCAAATATTTCAGTAGTTCAATATTTTCTTGATTTTAATGATAATGGTTTATAGCTGGTGGTAATCAGAAATCCTGAATCAAAATATTAGAATATCTCTTTTCCAGTTTCAGCCAGCAGCAAGAGGGGATCGGACAGCCAAGGCCTGCCTTTGACCTCGGCTCAGTCCACCCTGAACCTGCTTGCTTATTGTGGGGCCATAGGGTGGCTCGAAATTAAATACTGTATTTCTGACTTTATTTCGTGTCCTTAAACTTGATCAAAATTGTAAGAAAGGGTTTTGAAATACTTTTCATACAATAAATATCGAGTTTATTTTTTTTTTTAAATCAATCACTTAAAAAAAGAAAACAAAAGTAAACTTTTTTATGATATTCAGTATTTGGGATGGACTTTTAAGCGATCTGTAAATTACCACTACAGTGAATGTCGGGTTGGGTAGAATGAGTAGTGCGCTTCCTATACCGGAAGTTACAGCCGACCTGCAAGTGTTCAAGAGCACGGCAGGCGTAAACCGGCAAAGACGAGACCGGGGGAAGAAGAGGGGCCAGTGAGTGAGCCGACGCTCCATGGACTGAAATATATGAACGTAGGTTCTTTAACATTTCCTTTGCTCGCTGTTTTTGGTTATTTGAGTAGAGTCGTTTTTAAATTCTGTTATTCGCATTAGCTAGTTTACTGGCGACATTAGCAGTAACCAGCGTTGACGCCGAAAACCAAGTAAGTTAGCCCAGGTCGGCATCGATTAGCCCGCTAACATGCAACATTTCAACTACGCTTAACACGTTGCTTTTATTTTGTTTTTTTTCTGGCACATAGATTATCTGTAGTTTGTTGGTATCGACTGTCAGACATTTTTGTGAAGCATCTGTTCAAATTCCCAAACAAAATGGTTGGCTAAGTTATCAAAGAATCAGTTGTTCGCTGACGTCGTTAGCTGTGATGTAAGCTAGCGTGCTAATATTAGCTTACTGCTACGCCCCGAGGCCTTACATTCCCTAACGAATAACATCAGTTTTCTGTGGGAGACTACTTTTATGTTAGGTGTGAAAAAAACTAGTTGTATGACTTTCACAGTGGTGTGTTAAATTGGCGTTTAGTTAGGAATTTCTATGTACGACCGGGTCTTATTTATCATACAGCAGACATTACCTAAACTGGATTATCCGCCTACCAGGTTGTTATTGCGATGTTTAGCTCGGAATTACTTCGGTTGAATAACCTCATTTATGTTTTTTGTCTGCAGTTCGTCACTCCGAGCATCGTCGTAGCAATACCCTGACGTTTAAGAGCTGAAGCCCCCCGGCTGCTTTCGAGGAAGTTATTGTTTTGGCTGTTCGCTCTCGGAGCCACATATTTAAGCGAGCCCAGTGTGCGAGAAGAGGAGTGTGTGCCTGGTGTGTGAGCAGCTCTCCCTATGTGTGTGACAATGGGGGACATCAGTGACCTGGACCGACAGATAGAGCAGCTCAGACGCTGTGAGCTCATCAAGGAAAATGAAGTCAAAGCACTGTGTGCCAAAGCTAGGTAAGCATCAGTGTGCTTGGACCAACAGTACTTTTATTTAATCAATTATACACTCTGGATTCAAGGCAGAAAACTGTTTAGCTGTTGTCTTATTTCTGATTACTTAAAGAACGGGAAGGAAAATCTTCAGGATTGCGAATTAAAACGTACTTTAAGAGGGGTGAAATTTAGTAGAGCTTAAATATATTTATATGTAATGTTCAAAAGTAATGGGGCAGCCTTTTTGTCTTAACTATATGCTGACCAATGGCTGTTTCTGCAATGGGGTCACTACATGGGTGAGCTCCGCATGTTTGATTTGGCACAGTTTTACAGATGCCAAAAAAATGATTAACTAGACTAGCCAGACTTGCATCAGACGCTGACCAGTTACAGCTGAGAATTTTAAAGAAAATATATTTATCTATTAACGATATATAACAGGAATAGTTTACGAGTTGTTAAAACTTAAACCCTCTGCTGACTGTTAAATGTCTATGCACTGTGCATATAAACATGCTACTGGGTATGTTGGGTAGACCTTGATCATGCAGTTTATATACACAAATGCACAGTAAACAAAATAATATTTTTTATTTAAAGTTAATATTTTAATCAATCGCCATATAAATGTTATGAATCCCACTGTCGCCAAGTGCTTGCTCATAGAGGCCCATTTGATTGTTTTCTCTGGGGATCTGACAGGATCTTTACTGTATAAAGCACTTTGAGGCCAGTGTTGTTGCTATACAAATAGAATAGAATTGAATTTTAGGACCAGGTTGTTTATAGACTAAATTTAATCAAGATGGAAGCTCTTGGAGGAGTCCAGGAAAAAAAAAAAATATACGCAAAGGTAGGTTACGATCATTATAGGTTAAGGCAAGACCAATCACAGGCCTATTGTGAACTGGGATAAGTCTACTGGATGCAAACTGCCATACAGACTCCTTAAATGGAGCCTTATCCTGACTGACCTTTGTTAGCCAAACAGCTGCTCTTGGATATTGTTAAATAATCAAGTAACTCAGATAAGGATGATGGGGAAACAATTTAAGCAATCTGATCTTAATTTGAAATGATTACTGTGGTTGGTGGAGGAGTGTAGGTGGGCCCTCCCCCCAGGTTCTGTCACTGGGTTTCAAAAAGTCGATCTGTTTAGTTTGGATATTTTTCAAGTTGCAGTTACATCAGCAGCTGTGTTTCTGGAGTCACAACAGGAAACGGTAGATGTGGCCACTAGGGGGTGCTTGTCTGTAACTCAAGGATTTTTTTATGTCTGCTGTTAGTCTTGTGCTGTATTGTTGTGCATTATTTGTTTATTAATAAATACACATATGTATTTTTATTCCTTTAGAGAGATTTTGGTTGAAGAAAGCAATGTCCAGAGAGTAGATTCTCCTGTTACGGTAAGTAACATCTACTCACTGTTGTCTCCGAATTTGCCTGGATGTCAGATAAATGTGGTAATAATGTTTCTCCTGTTATTTCTTACAGGTTTGTGGAGATATACACGGTCAGTTCTATGACTTGAAAGAACTTTTTAGAGTAAGTTTTTTCTTTTTCTATTTGTTTTTAAATTCTCTTTTGCTTCTGATTGGGTTATATTTCATCGTTTAAGTATGATACTGGACACAGGTGTTATTCTGTTGCTGATTTACAATCCTGCACAGCACTACTAAACTTGGTTAGTTATTAGAAATAAATGCAGCTTTTTAAATTTGATATTCTTGCCTGGAGTTTGAGTGTGTGACCATACTGAGTACTGATTCCATAACTGTATTAAATGAATAATTTGTATTCTTAATTCTGATGAAAATCTGGGTATCGTTCTTTATGTTTAAGGCAATGTGACGCTCAGCTTTCAATTCATCAATAAATATATTTAAGAATATAAATCCAGTGAAAAGGTATTAGTAAAATTGGGGGGGGGGGGGTTTGTACATTTTTATTTTTCAGCTAAAATATGCATGAGTCTCATTTCATACTGCTGTTACTTATGGACATCCTAGTTTTTCCTGTTAGGGCTCTTCCTGTGAGTGCACCTCCTCACACAGTGGAGCTGACGAGAAACCTGGCATCATGTTATGTTGCCGTAAATGCTCCAGTAGAGGCTTCTCAATAAGATTTACAGCAGACGTAATGAAGAGTGAGAGTGGGTGATGTGCTAACACTTCTACTAGCAAGCAGTACACTGCTGCTCCAATGTATCGATACCCAGTGTAGCTTTGAGTCAGTATTGGACCAAAATGTCGTCCAAATAGTGAATTGATGCTAGTTTCTTTTACTAATCTCATGTGAGGTAATATTTTGAGATACGGTATGGTTCAGTCTTGGTGCATTGCAGGTCTTGGAGCCCATTATTGTGAGTTGGGGAGGTAGAGACTTGTGCACATTAAATTACCAGTATGCATCTGTTTAAAGGGCTTCTTTTTCATTTTTCTGCATGACAGGTGGGAGGAGATGTCCCGGAGACAAATTATCTGTTCATGGGTGACTTTGTGGACAGAGGCTTCTACAGTGTGGAGACTTTTCTTCTGTTGCTAGCTCTTAAGGTAGTTTGTCTGTCCACTGCTGAGCTACACCAGTCACAGTTTTTACATGTACTTTCCCATGAGGTGTCAGAACTCCCTTTTCTTCATCTTTTATCTCTGCTGTACGATCCAGGTACGCTATCCGGACCGGATTACCTTGATCCGGGGAAACCACGAGTCCCGGCAGATCACCCAGGTCTACGGCTTCTATGACGAGTGCCTCCGCAAATATGGCTCAGTCACTGTCTGGAGATACTGCACAGAGATTTTCGACTACCTGTCTCTCTCTGCTATTATCGATGGCAAGGTTAGATACGTCATCCAGCACTTACTTCATATGTAGTGTTTTCTTCTGAACATGTTGCTGCTTTTAAAACTCCCTGTGTGGCTGTTTCATTTGTTTTGATATAATTCTGTGTCTGTAGATCTTCTGTGTGCACGGGGGATTGTCTCCCTCCATCCAGACACTGGATCAGATCCGGACCATTGATAGAAAACAGGAAGTGCCCCATGATGGACCAATGTGTGACCTCCTGTGGTCAGACCCTGAAGGTACAGACTGTTCACTTGGACATCTAAAAAAAATGAAATTGACGTTAACAAGAAGCAGCAGTGGAGAATTAAAGGACTGTATGACGGATGTGTTTGTGTGACCAGTTTCTCTCTGCTTTCAGACACCACAGGCTGGGGGGTGAGTCCTAGAGGTGCCGGCTACTTATTTGGGAGTGACGTAGTGGCTCAGTTCAACGCTGCCAACGACATCCACATGATCTGTCGAGCTCATCAGCTAGTTATGGAAGGCTACAAGTGGCACTTCAATGAGACGGTGCTCACTGTGTGGTCAGCACCCAACTACTGCTACAGGTACATAGCTACATTAATCTCAGATATCTTGAATGGGGAAAGATGTCCTCGTCATGTAAATACTGAGTTGGTCCCTGAAATATTCCAAAGGTGGATCATGTTGTCTCAGTATTAGCAGCAATTACCAGTGAAATTCCAGCACTATAAATTTAAATCTACAGCTAATGCAGGGCAATGTTAAGATTGCAAATGTTTGGAAAGGCATACCTGCTGCTGTGTAGAGACTTGCTGTACAACAAGTTGAACCATGTTCGGGTTTGTTCTAGCATCAACTGACGTCAGCTGAATTGGCCAGTCAAGCCTCCATTCATGGTGGATTACTTTATAAACAGACTATTTGTTCTGTTTACCTTACTACTGTTGAAATATGAGATGGTTACCCCTGTGACAAATAAGCATTAAAAGCCGTTGTGTAACATTTTGATTCCCCATGCTGCTTCATACATGTCAGTCTGCTGCTTTGACCCAATTGGCATAGATACAAAACAACACTCACTTTGGGGAATGCATTTTAACAAGCATAGTAGCAAGGAAACTTACTATAAACTAGCAGTTTATTCCGTTGTGCTATGGCTGGGTGATAAAACACTAAAGATAATTACGGGGAAAGAAGTTTTCCTCGATCGAAATATGAAACATGGTCCATATAAAGTTGATATAACTCATTCTATTTTTGACAGGCGGCATGAAAGGCCACTGACAATCAGAATAGATGGGATTACATACATTACATGACTAATAAAAGTAAAAGTTTCCAGTGATCAGGCGTGGTTAAGGCCATCTCAGTGTTGTTTCATACCAAAGAAATGTTTGAAACTGTGCTAATTAAATATACACACGGCTCTTTTTGTGTATAACCAATGTTTGTTCCTCTCCTAACAGATGTGGTAATGTAGCAGCCATCTTGGAGTTGGATGAGCATCTACAGCGGGAGTTCATCATATTTGAAGCAGCACCACAAGAGACCAGAGGCATACCCTCCAAGAAACCAGTAGCCGACTATTTCCTGTGAAGTCTTTGAGCAGACAGCCATGACACATCCAAATTTCCAGTACCGTTTCACATCAGCTGCCCTCCATCCTGCCGCTGGACCGTTCTGTCAGTGTGAACTCAAAGCAGTGAGACAGAAAACCTGCCAAAACCTGCCAAGCTCCTGCACTGCTTCAGCTTGAAGAGCTGGATTTTTT